TTTGAGTTTGTCTGAGGTTTTTCTTACAGTTAGACTGGGATTTTAGGTTTTAGAAAAGACTACCACAGAGGTGAAGTTCCCTTAACATATCATATCAGAGGGTACATGATGCTAACGTAACATACTCCACATTTTGTTAACCTTAATCTCTGGTTAAGGTAGTCTTTGCCAGAGCTCTCCACTGTAAAGTTGTTATTTTTCCCTTCCCATATACCCTGCTCTTTGGAAGCAAGTCACTACATTTAGCCCACACTCAAATTGAGGGAGATTAAACTCTACCTTCTGGAAGGAGAAGTGTATAGATGTATCATTTGAAATTCTTCTAAGGAAGTTTTATCTCTTCTCTTTATTTATTTATATTTATATATGTAAATGATTGTATATATATATATTTTTTTTTCTTTGGGTTATAATCTCACTAGATACCTTTTATTTAGATTCAGGACTTAAATTTATGCCTCCCATTCTAATCTTTTGTGTGTGTTTTTTTTATTCCACTCTCCTTTTTTCTCCTTTCTGTATTACCCATAAATGAGTAGACATATGTCCTTGTCTGTCATTCATCTAAATGATGACATTATTTAACATCAGTCCTATGTAAAACCCTCTGCAGATGACTGATAAATTCCCTCTGGTTACATATTCTTCTTCATAGAAAGAAGCCTGTCAATTTTATAATAGGTATCAAAAATAAATTTTCTCAGTCTGATCTAAATTTTCACAAACCTGTTTTATTTGTTAACAGACACCTTTTTGTTTGTTTTTGCAAATCAACTCGTTTTGATTATAAGGGGCAATATTTATGAAATGAAGAAATCAAAATAAAGGTGAATTTTTTAAAAACCTGGACCCAATTTGGGTTCTTTTTCATGTTTCAGTCACCCCTTTTCCATAAATTATCAAAAACACTGGCCAGTTGGTGAATATCTTTGTTCACAAGACATTGGGTGGGCAGAGCCTCCAGTATGGCCTACCTGATTGTTTTTCAATTATTTCTTCTTTCAGTCTTAGATTTTTGCATTTCCATTGTAGCTGTTCCTGTTGAGTTTTCAGACTACTGATGAACATTTGGTCAAGAAAACTATGGCTTGTTTAAGAACATTCCTTTCAGCGGTATTTTGTCCATTAAGTCAGTTTCGATTTTAGCAGCAGGAAGAGATCTTTCTGTCTCTGGGGATGAATGAAGTGGACTACACCGTTCTCAAAGCCATTCCTCTGTTGCCTGTTTGAGTTAGCACTGGCCTCATGGTGTCCTTGTCTGGGGCTGCTGTCCTGGCTGTCTGATTGGAAGGTAGAAACCGTATCTTTAGCAGAAGTATCAAAGGCAAAAGGGCTGGGGGAAGAGAGGTCAACAAATGAGCAACAGAGGGCAGGGTTCGTTTTTTTAAATTCTCTTATTTTTTAAATCAGATATTCTTCAATATTGCCTCTCTCTCTCTCTCTCCCTCCCCCCACCCCCCGCTCTCTCTTTCTCTCTCTCTGTCTCTCCATATGTTCCCTGCTCTGTGGAAAACTGTCTTCTGGCTAAGTTGGGAGTTGGGTTATCTTCCCTCAGGAGGGTTATGCTCTACTAGGAGGGACAAAATTCTCACACAGACGAATCCTCAACTTAGATCACATTTGTTATCAGCAAACATATTAACTGGTTTCTTCTGAATGTTTTGTGCCTATAGCCAATGTTTGGCATCTCTAAAAACTTTGTGCAAAGCTCACACTTTATGTAAGCAAAGTGGAATTATCTTTGGGTCCAGGAGTTTAGGATATAGCATGCTTTTTTCCTTCTAAGGGATAATCATGTGACCTATTTTAAATACT